ATAAATCTTTACCTCCGGACCATTCCGGAACTCCTCGTGACGTCCGGGATCTCATCCGGGACTCCGAACAACATTCGGTTACCACATACAAGCTTCCTTTATAACCCTAGCGTCATCGAACCTTAAGTGTGTAGACCCTACGGGTTCGGGAGACATGCAGACATGACCGAGACGTTCTCCGGTCAATAACCAACAGCGGGATCTGGATACCCATGATGGCTCCCACATGTTCCACGATGATCTCATCGGATGAACCACGATGTCAAGGACTCAATCGATCCCGTATTCAATTCCCTTTGTCTATCGGTATGTTACTTGCCCGAGATTCGATCGTCGGTATACCGATACCTTGTTCAATCTCGTTACCGGCAAGTCACTTTACTCGTTCCGTAACACATCATCCCGTGATCAACTCCTTGGTCACATTGCGCATTTGATGATGTCCTACCGAGTGGGCCCAGAGATACCTCTCCGTTTACACGGAGTGACAAATCCCAGTCTCGATTCGTGCCAACCCAACAGACACTTTCGGAGATACCTGTAATGCACCTTTATAGCCACCCAGTTACGTTGTGACGTTTGGTACACCCAAAGCATTCCTACGGTATCCGGGAGTTGCACAATCTCATGGTCTAAGGAAAAGATACTTGACATTGGCAAAGCTCTAGCAAACGAACTACACGATCTTTGTGCTAGTCTTAGGATTGAGTCTTGTCCATCACATCATTCTCCTAATGATGTGATCCCGTTATCAACGACATCCAATGTCCATAGCCAGGAAACCATGACTATCTGTTGATCACAACGAGCTAGTCAACTAGAGGCTCACTAGGGACATATTGTGGTCTATGTATTCACACGTGTATTACGATTTCCGGATAATACAGTTATAGCATGAATAAAAGACAATTATCATGAACAGGGAAATATAATAATAATACTTTTATTATTGCCTCTAGGGCATATTTCCAACATGACTCATGGCAATTCTGTGCCAAGCGTGGCCATCAGTTCATGAAGGGTTGGGGTGCCAACCTGGGATGTGACCTCCGCGATCGCAAGAAGGCCTTGTTGACCGCCATCCAGGCCCTGGACCTGCGTGCTGACGCGGTCGGCCTCTCTCCCGACGAGTGGCTCTCTTGCTACGATTTAGAAGACCAGCTCTCCGTCATCTACACTGATGAGGAGGCCTTTTGGCGTCTCCGCGGTGCCCAGAAATGGGTTTTGAAGGGCGACACGAACACGACATACTTTCAGGCCATCGCGAATGGCCGTCGTAGATGCAACACCATCCCCCTCCTATGGAATGGCGTGACCCTCCTGCAGGACCCCCGTGACATTCGGACCCATGTAGACGGGTTCTATAGGTCCTTGTTCTCTGCCGCTCCTAGGAGCGGCCTTTCCCTGGCCCCTGATTGCTGGTCCACCCCCAGCTGGTTTCTGATGCGGAGAACGCGGCCCTTACGGCCCCCTTCTCCGAGGGCGATGTCTGGGCTGCCATTATAAGCATGAACCCTACCTCGGCTCCGGGTCCGGACGGCCTCCCGGTTAAATTCTTCCAGACCTTCTGGAACTTGATTAAACCTGAGGTCATGGCCATCTTCGACGAGTTCTACGTTGGGTCCATCGACCTCGGACGCCTCAACTATGGGATCATCTCGCTCATCCCTAAGGTGCCTGGCGCTTCCGACATCCGCCAGTTTCGTCCAATCACGGTCACCAATGTGATTTTCCGGATTCTAGCAAAAGGGTACGCCAATAGGGTGACCCTTCTTGCTGACCATTTAACCCACCCCAACCAGTCCGCCTTCATTCAAGAGCGATATATCCTGGATGGGGTGCTTGTTCTACATGAAGTCCTCCATGAGGTTCGATCTAAACACCTTAATGCGGTATTCCTGAAGATCGATTTCCATAAGGCCTATGACATTGTTTGTTGGCCCTTCCTTCGGGAAGTTTTGCTCCGGAAGGGCTTTGACGACCATTGGATCACTAGAGTGATGCAAATGGTCTCCTACGATCGCACTGCCGTGAACATCAATGGGGAGATCGGCCCTTACCTCCCCACCCTTTGTGGGGTTAGACAAGGCGATCCCTTCTCCCCTTTTCTTGTTCAATATGGTGGTGGACGCTCTTGCCGCCATCCTGGATAAGGCTAAGGCTGCTGGCCATATTCGTGGGATCATCCCCCACCTGGCCGGCGGCTCCGGGATCTCCCTCCTCCAGTATGCCGACGACACCATCATTATGGTCGAAGGCTCAGAGACGGACATCTCCAATCTCAAGTTCCTTCTCCTCTGCTTCCAACAAATGTCTGGCCTCAAAATAAACTTCGACAAGAGTGATGTGATGGTGATGGGCTATTCTCCGGCTGAGTACCTATCCATTGCCAACCTGCTTAACTGCCGCCTAGGCTCCTTCCCGACGACCTACTTGGGAATGCCCATTAGTGACTCCCGACTCACCGTCACAGACTTGCGCCCGACCGTGGCCAAGCTTCAAACACGCATCGAGCCATGGCAGGGTAGATGGTTGTCAAAGGCGGCTCAGACAATTCTCATTAACTCATCCCTCTCCAGCCTTCTCTTGTTCCTCATGAGCTTCTACAGCCTTCACGAGACTCTGCACCATGAGATGCCAAAGTCCAGTCTCAGTTCTATTGGGCTGGCGACAACAATAAGCAGAAATACCATATGGTCAGCTGGCCTGACTTGCACAAGCCCAGGGAACAAGGAGGCCTCAATATCATGTGCTCTAAGCGCATGAATATCGCCCTCCTATCCCGATGGCTCTGGCGCATCTCGCAAGGCCACGGTGGCCTCTGGCTCAACATCATCAGGAACAAGTACCTGTGTGGACAACCCATAGCCTTCTGTCAGAGGTCTGGTGGCTCCCAGTTCTGGCAGTCGGTCGTCCAACTTCTCCCCGTCCTCCGCATCTGGACCTCCATCTCGGTGGGATCCGGGGTAGCGACTTTGTTCTGGTTTGACCGGTGGGCCGGAGACACTCCCTTCGCTGCGCGCTTCCCCGACCTCTTCTCCATCGCTGTCGACCCTTTGATCTCAGTTGAGAAGGCCCTTATTGACTTAGGGCGCCTAGCTTTCCGGAGGCCATTTGGGCCCCCGGATTCCGCCGCGTGGCGTGAGTTACTGGATTGCGTCGCTCTCCACGAGCCAGTGGTGGACGGTGGCCCGGACCAGGTGAGATGGCGCCTCGAGCCTTCAGGCCAATTCTCCACCAAGTCTCTCTACCAGGCCATCGCCCCCTCCTCCGCCCCTCCCCCTTACGACGGTGTGGTCCATGTGGCAATGGATCTTCATGTGGCAATGGATTCGTGGTCGAATCCCGTTTGGGGTCGAGGTTCGCAAGCGTAATGGCCCGGGCACCGGCCTTTGCCCGCTTTGCGGTATCCCGAAGACTCGAATCACATCTTCTTCTCCTGCGTGCCCGCTCAATTCGTGCGGAGCTGCTTTCGAGAAGTGGTGGGTGGAAATTGGTGCCACACCAACTTCCCCGACCTATTTGCCGAACTCGAGAACCTCCCCTTGCCTTCTCGCCACATTAGGTGGCTTGAGATTGGGGTCATCGCTTGGACCCTCTGGAGGATCGGCAATAAGCTTGTGATCCAGCGCACTCCTCTTCGACGGGCTACTGACGCTATCTTCAAACTGTCTGGTTTCTTGCAGCTTTGGCGGCCGCTTAGCCGCCCTCGGGACCGCGACGCCATCTCCGCCTTCATCGCCGACCTCCGCTCGATGGTCGTTCGTCTGTTGCCTCCGCCCCCGCCGCCTCCGCCGGAACCTGACTAGGCGCTTGTCTTGTTCTCCAACGCTTTTCTTGTATTTAGTTTGGGCTTGTTGAGTTGTGCCCTCAGCAGAACCTATTGTACTTCTTTGTGAGACTTGGATGTGTGTGTTTGGACTAGTCCTTGTATGTGTCCTCTCTGGCGGTTTGCTTTATTTATAAAGCGGGGCGAAAGCCTTTTTCGGTAAAAAAACAGAGATCAAATAGATGAAAATAGGCATGGGCATGCGGACTTTACTTACAACATTATAGTTGCACTTAGGATCTTATCTTAATTTCCAACATGGTGATGTGCTCTCAACGATTAGATGTGGGGATGCATCCAAATAATATCACAACCGATCAGCAACCTGCATCATGAGTCTATTGTCCAAACAAGGCCCTTACCGTCACATGGGGTTACCTCGATTATTAAGGATTTCTCCAGGCCAACACAATGGGCGTTTAGTGACTACACCTCATGATCCCTTGTTAGGTCTTTTCGGCTACCGTACCAATCCTTATTTTCATAGGCGTTTGGTGTAACCTTCTACGTGTCCTTGCACTTTATTTCCTCCTACGTTTTTGGATGCAATGGAAAAAAGTGGTCCCTGTGGTTTTTTTGGGTGGATCGGGCATGACGAAGGTCCGGACGCCTGCAAACCTCTCCTACATTTGGTTTCGGTTTGTGTGATTTTAGACTCCAGTGTGGTTGACAACATATTTAGACCGTTCGGTCTAGACATTTAAAGGCGATTTGGTGAACCACATTGAAGTTGCCGTTACAAGGGTGAATCGTTTTGTTGGCTGCGTTATACCGTTCGCCAGCTAGGGTTGACATTTGCGAACCGCCTAGATTGCAGTTTAAGTGTGCTTGGGGACGGCAGTTTTACAAAAGGCATGGCATTTTGTTTATTTTAGTGCATTTTTCATCTAAAAACTGCCACCATCAAATCTTGATCGTGTGGCGTGTGGAGGGGTTGCTGGAGGGATGTTCCTGGCGACTGTTCGCCAAGTAATAACATTCCCGAAAAGAAAAAGCAGTAGAGCGTGATTTTGAGCGGCGGTACAAAGGTACCCGTAGCAGGTCGCCCCTATCCGTATCCGGTCGCCTAAATATTTTCCTCCCTGTCGCCCTCCCTCCTTCCTTTCCTCCACTCGCGCTTCGCTCTCAGATCCCTTCTCCTCCGTCTCGCCCGCGTGTTGGGGTAGGAGCCATGGCGGACCAGCTCACCGACGACCAGATCGCCGAGTTCAAGGAGGCCTTCAGCCTCTTCGACAAGGACGGAGACGGTTCGATCCCCTCTCTGTTCTCCTCTTTCAACATGTACTACTATATGATTTGCACGACTTCATTCGATGTGCGCGCACTCGCTGTAGTTGATGCGGTGCCTTGCACTGGCGTGTAGATGTGTTGGGTGGGAGATCTGATCGACGTAGCGTATATGCGTTTGCTGGTCCGAATGGATCGCGGCGGGATTGGTTTGCGGGGTGCTCAAGATGCAGTAGATCTCGCACTCCTTTTCTCCATTCCTTGTGGATTCTGGCTCCATACATTCTTGTCTTGCCAGCGCTGTCAATCCGTCACCGTGCAGTGTTCTGGTATTGCTGCGCCTTATGCTCGTCCGTTCCGGCTGATCGCTGAGCTGTCTGTCATAGCGATTAGCGAAGGCTTCAGCTGGCTGTTTGGTCGTTCCATCGGATCTCTTTCAGTGGAGCAACTGATGACCTTGCAAAGTTCCAAAAAAGGAAGTTCTACTAGGAAGAGATTGAATTATGAGAGAAGGCGGCACCATGGGGCTGCTCCGGTTAGCATGGGTCTACCGCCTACACATCTCATGGGTGATCACACAGCATGGCCGGTGGCACTGTTGCTGCTGAGTAGGTTGCTAGAGCATGGTGGGTCACTAGTCATCAGTCTCTACTCTCTAGATTTAGCTGGAACAGCAGTGACGAGGTGCGCCGCGATGTGGTGTTAGGGTTATAGGATCATGTAATACCCCATAATTCTGTACTTATATGTTAGTAATGGGGAACTACTACCGACTTGGAATTTATCTAGGCTTCTGGGTGTTTTTCTATGGATGCCATGGGCATAGGAGTGTGATAGCATGATTAAATTTTGCATGGCTTAAACTTCACATTTTCTTCTCAGTGAATGCAACATCGGAGTTTGTCTTTTTTGCCTATCATGCTATGGTGGTGCTAGTGTGAGACTGATAACATGGAGAATGCAATTGATGGCTGGAATAGTTATTGGTTTGATGTTTACTGATTATGAAACATCAGTTGAAGTAACTTACATGTTACCAGCTTACTGCTTGACAGAAAATATATCTGTAGAGTTGCTTTCTGTTCGAAGATTTCTAGCCAACGGTTGATGCTAGGGAAACAAGAGCCGTGACCGTGATCATACTGGTTAAGATTGATTCACAAATTTACATTAATTGTACATAGTTTTCTTATTTCTCTTCCATGAAAACATTGCCAAATTGCATTTTGGTTATGCAAAAGTACCTAGCCAAGGACCAAAATGCTTGAAGGAGCTGATCAGATGCATCAATGATGGTCCTTGATCCTCCAAAAACACCACCATTATTCTAGAGGCTGCGTACAGAAGACCCAAAGTGGTCCGACCCTTCCCTGGACCCTGCACAAGCAGGAGCTATGTGCACTGGGCTGCCCATGGTAGTTGTGGTATCACTAGCATGGTTTTCGAGTCGCGACTCATGCAAGTCGCTATGGGGCAGCGACTCGGAAGAAGTCGAGCCTGCGTTGTGACTAGTCACGACTCAGAGTCGCGAGTCGACACTAAGCTGAGTCGACCATATTTTTGCGACTCATAGACTAGTCGTCGACTAGTCGCGACTAGTCGAGCGACTCGAAATCCATGATCACTAGCTTGTTGAATGTGTTTGTTGGCATGTGTATGAGGACATATGTTTATTGTAGGGAAGGTCTAAAGAAATGTCCTCTGCTACTTTGATTGTGTAGATTTGAATATTTGAAATATTCACTAATGATTTCCTTTTGTAAACTTGCTGATTATGTTAAAGGCATGACACATGAACTTTCTAGGATCCATATATCTTCTCTTGTATGATGAAAAGCAATACCTGTTGTAAATTTGAAGAGGATTCTCAAATATGTTTCTAGTCTTGAAACTGTGAAAATGTTTTTCTTGCAATAGAAAACCATGCAACTGATTTATGAAGTACTCCCTCCGTCCCATAATGTAAGATGTTTTTTTGGCACTAGTGTAGTGCCAAAAAAATGTCTTACATTATGGGACGGAGGGAGTACTTGCAAGTCAAAACAAATCTTTGCTGCAATAGGCCACATGTCTTATTCTTCTATCTGTTTGGGCTTTGGTACTGATCAAGTCGATGGAATGTTTACGTAAATACTTTTCTGGATAGTTGTATTTCAAGTACTCAAGCCTTGAATGTTCTTCTAGTGCCAAAAAAACGTCTTACATTATGGGACGGAGGGAGTACTTGCAAGTCAAAACAAATCTTTGCTGTAATAGGCCACATGTCTTATTCTTCTATCTGTTTGGGCTTTTGGTACTGATCAAGTCCATGGAATGTTTACGTAAATACTTTTCTGGATAGTTGTATTTCAAGTATTCAAGCCTTGAATGTTCTTATGAAATTGCATCATTGTCCACTTAAACTGTATTTGTGTTTGTTTGCTACCCTTTAATGATTCCATGCACCCAAAATTCCAGATGAAGAAAGAGACTGTAAGATTTGTTCTGACGGACCCAATCATTGGTCCAAACTGTCTTTTGCATTAGCATAGCTGAAATGATCTCTAAAGGTTAGATAAATGTAAATAATATTTGTGTCCTTTGAAAACCCGAAAGTTAGTTATGTTCTTGTACTGCACATGCATGTGCAAATGTGGCTTCATGATGTGTTCATTACTTCTATAAATTTCTACAAGATCATTTTGAAGATTCGCCCATTACTGGCACATATGATATGACGATTTTATTGCTGCTTGTGTTTTTCTGCATCCTTGTGGGTTTTTGTATTCCCACCTAATAGTCAGTGTTTCAAGCGGGCAAGTCAAATCAAGTTGCACCTGACTGTGGCCAGGTAGTCTGACTACTCTAGATGCTGTCTATTTGACAATTAGCCAGGCCTGCTAGTCAGGGCATTTAGACAGGCTGGCAATAGGTTTTCGAGTCATACTTAGTGTGTCTGGTTTGAGCCCAAGCCAAACCCCACCAAAAATTTGGCTTAGGTTTTGCCTGCCTATGTTTTGGACACTGTTGGCAAGAAAATTGAAAGTGGGCTAAGGAGCAAGGTCATACCAAATTTTTGTCAGACATCCAAGCAAGAACCAAAATTTCAGTCATGACTGAAACAATCAGTAGGGCTGATTTGGCTGCAAACAAAACATTCCTATAGTCCGTGTTAAGACCTCTTATATTGCATACAGAAGTGAATTGCTTACATAAATCTCTGGGGCATTTCATTCTTGCACAGTATTACCATTCTATGTATATTTGTAGAAGCAGTTTAAGTTATTAGACTAAAAAACTGTTGGCCTCCTGAACAGGCTGCATCACCACCAAGGAGCTTGGAACTGTGATGCGCTCGCTGGGGCAGAACCCCACTGAGGCAGAGCTTCAGGATATGATCAATGAAGTGGATGCTGATGGCAATGGAACGATTGACTTTCCTGAGTTCCTCAACCTGATGGCACGTAAGATGAAGGACACTGATTCCGAGGAGGAGCTTAAGGAGGCTTTCCGTGTGTTTGACAAGGACCAGAATGGTTTCATCTCGGCAGCTGAACTCCGCCATGTCATGACCAACCTTGGTGAGAAGCTGACAGACGAGGAGGTGGATGAGATGATCCGTGAGGCTGACGTGGATGGTGACGGCCAGATCAATTACGAAGAGTTTGTGAAGGTGATGATGGCCAAGTGAGCTGCCATACTAAGCTAGTTCTCTCTTTTTAGATGAACTAAGCTAGTTCTCTCTTGATGTTAGCAGCTAGTTTAGCCTTGAAAACTGACAGCACTCGGTACTACTGTTAAGTCCAGTGAATGAACATATTGCGCGTGCTTCCTTCTCAGGGATGTTGAGAATTTCGTTTGGATTTTCTTGCAGTTGTATTACCTTTGTACAATGTAGCTTTCCTTCCAAATTGAGATCATGAATTTGCTCTAGCTTATTCTTTCATTGTATCAAGTTGCATGGATGTCTGATATTTTTGTGTGCGTGTGTGTTATCAACTCCTTGGGGTGCAGGATTTCGTTGTGGTTTACCAGTAATGATGTAGACAATGTAGTACATCTCACATAAATGCTCGGTCATGGAGTTTTTGTTTGAAAAGCTGACTGCAGATATCGTGATTGCGCATTTCGTCGAAATTATGCCTTAGCCAGTCTTCTTCACATATACGACTACTTTGCTTCTCTTGCCTTTCCTCTTTTGCAAAAGATCAATCTGTGCATTCTATTCTACATCTTCTCCAGCGATTTAGTATGGCTCTTCTGTCCCTGTTGCATCTCGCGATTTAAAATTCGGTCACCTGTATTAAATTGGAAAAGGTGGGAATAATGCTGGAATTCGCGTTGGTTCTCTTGTTTTCTAAAGAACAGTTGCTGGAAAACGACAGTCACTGATTTTTCCTTCGTACAAAAAGAGCGCAAGAAATCTCAAGCAAGCATTATTCAACTAGTAGGAATTTGTCAAATCAATTATGTCCTGCCGACCGAATCATCTACGGAGTTCCCGCCTTTATTTTTCTCCCCAGCAAATAAAATACTTTTCAACCTTGGATAAACAAATAATGGACAAACCAAATGAGTAGTAGATTATAATATTATAGCTATTAAACAAAACAAAATAAGATGCACCTGCACGGAAAGGCTTGTCAAATTTCTTTTCTAAGAGGGAATCCATTTTACACGCCCATTTGCAGTGTTTTTTCAATCACAGCGAACCTAGTTATAAGTTCCATTCCCTGTAATTTATTCCATCTTATCTGGAACACTCATTTGTCCTCTGATCACACACAAAAACAAGTATAACTCTGATGGATTTTACATGATGTCCATGTACATTTCCTCAATGTCATTAGCTCCACCCTTAATCCAACAAGAAGAAATCATCCCATTTCTCACCGACAAATGGTGGCATGCATCTATTATTCTCGATTGGTATAATCTCTTGTCAGTTGCGTCTCCTCGACGGGACGTTTTGAGATAATAAACTCATTTTCTTCGAGAAATGTAGCAGAAAATTGTAAGAAAGAGAAAGCAGATTGCATTAAGAAAAGCAGACCCTCAGCAGTATTATATATACTCCTACTACTTAATAGGCAAACTTTAACGGGTGGGCAGTGCCTCGATCAGACTAGATTAACTCCATCATCTTTGGGAGCGTATCAGGCCAAGAAGTGCATGCAGTCAGCTTTTGTAGTTACACATGTACAGTATGCACACTGTGCCTGCAGTTGGAGCAAAATAATGGCCATCTCATGCGGAACCGGATCCTCTAACATTAAGAAGGAAAATTAGAGAAGCTACAATCCCTTAACTTTCCTTCTTGCAACCCATATGATTAAGGCTAAAATAATTTAAATTAATATGCAAATTATGGATTTAATGTGTACATTCATAATTATTACATACAAACAATTTGATGGTGAAATAAAATTAATTATAGATTATTTATATCTACAGTAAATATGAATAGTAAATAATCCGCTAAACGCTTCTAACATTCCTTCTTTATTTTACACTATAATTATACTGTAGCACCGTGACTTTGCTTCTCTAAGTTAGAGGATCCGCCTCCATCTCATGCATGGCCAAAGCAAAAGTCTACTAGCTGCCTGCTACTGCCCAACCCTGGGTTAACCTGAATCCATGAGCTTCCCGTGCCCAATTTTCCAGCTTCCAGCAGAACCTGCCCTAGTTTGACATGCAGTACTAGCCCAGCTAGCCAGATACTACCATGTTTTTGTCACACAGAGAAACAATACTCCTGCTTCGAGAGTTTCGCAAAGGGTTCTTTAGACTTATGTGACGCATTCAGAGATGAAGAAATGAAGTCAAAATCTGGAGGCCCGGAGATTCAAACATGTGTGGGTGGGTTCTCTTTACAAGTTATCTCATCAGCAAATTCCAAGGCAGTGTGTATGTGCATGCCCAGTCAAACAGTCATACATTAATTAATCCAGCAGATGAGTAGATGAACTACTCCGAGAATAATTAACCTAACTAACAACAGCAATCCCAGTAAACTGATCACGCGAAACAATCCAAATCTTGCACGGTTTGTAGAAAAAATATTGTGGAACGGGCACCTAAAGCATTGAGTTTTGCTGGGTCAGCCTATCTGACTCGTATGCATTGCTGTTGGACCGCGATGGTAGATGGCACGAGTCCGCGCGGCTTGGTGCGCCGCCCTATTAGAGTATATCTTCGGTTTGTATATTTGGTAGTTCAAATTATACTCTATCTTTATTAGTCTAGTCTTCGAGCCCAAGCTTTGTAATCTATATAAATAGCCCTTGAGGCCCCGATCAATACAACAATTACTTCTCCAATATCTCAATCTATCATGGTATCCGACGCCTAGGTTTTCCGCACCTGGTATGGCTCCGCCACCTGCGCCGCCGCCCCGGCCGATTCAGCCCCTCTTCTCCATGGCCGACTTCCGCGCCGCCGGTGCACCACCCCCTACCTCCACCTCTACAACTACTCAAACACCTCCCCCTCCAAACCCTATGTTCTCCCTAGCCGACACCATTACCGACGTCTCTCCCTTCATACCAATCTCATTAGACCTCGGCATTCACAACTACAAGGGCAAGAATCCCGTCTACCGGCCTCCTGCATCTCCTCCTGCCGGACCTGCACCAGCCTCGTCATCCACCGCTCCCGCGCCACCAGCTCCGTCGCCATGGCCTCCTCAGCATGATCCTTGGACTGGCCTCGTCCAGGCTTGGTCGATGCCATGGTCGGCCCCCTCGCCGTATGGTGCTCCTCCTGCGTACACGGGCACGTGGAGCCCCGGTCTTCGTCCAGCCACAGGCTCTCCGGGACTCCTTGGACCCAGGCCGTCGGCGCACGTCTACACCGCCACTCCTACTCCGCCTACCAGCATGCCAGGACCACTGTCGCCCTACAACACCATGCCGGCCTTCTACGGCAACATGCAGGCCCCAATCGCATACTACCCATCCGCTATCCCCTACGTCAACATGCAAGCTCCTGGCCCCTCTGCTCCTCCCCAACAGCCGACTTGGGACCAAGCCGCCTTCATCAACGCCATGAACAATTTTGTCCTCAACGACGCAGGTACGGATTGGATTTTCGATTCTGGTGCATCAATGCATATGTCTTCAAATATGAATTTATTGTCAGCTTGTTTTCCTTCTGCTTTTTCCACTATCACCATTGGCGATGGCTCCACCATCCCTGTTTCATGCACTGGTCACTCTTACATCCCTTCCTCTCATGCCAATTTTCTTCTACGCAATATTCTTGTGGTTCCTTCCATCATCAAAAATCTTATCTCTGTTAGACAATTTTGCATTGACAACAAAGTTATCCTGGCCTTTGACCCTTTTGGTTTGTCTGTGAAAGATCTGACAACGGGGACGGTCCTCGCTCGGTACAATAGCACGGGCGATCTTTATCCTCTTCATGGCACGCCCACATCCACCTCTCGTGCCATGCTCGCCTCTGTTGATCTATGGCATCGTCGTCTCGGTCACCCCAGCAAAAACACTTTGACGTCTTTACTCCAAGAATTTTGTATCCCTAGTTCTAGCAGTCCTCATAATCCCTCTCTCTGTAATGCATGTCAATGTGGCAAACATGTTAGATTACCTTTTGGAACCTCTACTACCATTAGTACTTTTCCTTTTGAGTTACTTCACTGTGATTTATGGACCTCTCCAGTCCCTAGTGTTTCTGGTTATAAATATTATCTTGTGATCCTGGATGATTATTCTCACTATACTTGGACCTTTCCTCTTCGCGCTAAATCTGAAGTACCTGCAATCTTTCTCAACTTTCGACAATATGTAATCACACACTTTGGCTTGCCAATTCGATTTATTCAATGTGATAACGGTCGTGAATTTGATAACACCCAAAACCGCACCTTCTTTCTCTCTCAAGGCATCCTTCTTCATTTTTCATGCCCTTATACATCTTCTCAAAATGGTAAAGCTGAACGCTGTCTTCGCTCTATTAATGATGTTCTTCGCACATTGCTTTTACAAGCTTCTCTTCCTTCCCGTTTTTGGGTTGAAGCCCTTCGCACCGCCACACTACTTCTTAATATTCGACCAACTAAAACTTGCCCTCTTTATTCGCCTTTCCAATCTCTTTTTCTCTCCCACCCTGACTATTCTTTTCTGCGTGTTTTTGGCTGTCTATGCTTTCCCAACATTGCCTCTACCGCCTCCAACAAACTAGAACCACGCTCACTACCTTGCATTCACCTTGGTCTTTCTAATGATCACAAAGGATATCGTTGTTTCGATCCATCTTCTGGTCGTATCATTCTCTCTCGTCATGTCACATTCGATGAAAATACTTTTCCTTTTTCTGTCACTACAACCACAAAACCAATTCCACCACAATCCGCCACCACCAAAACCCCTTCCCTAGTTCGTCCTTCAGTCATCTCTGCTGCCATGGAATCTTGTTCCGTCTCTCCGCCGGAATCACCCACCGTCAGCCACCCTCCTGCCCCGTCCCCCACCTCTCCCGCAATTGCATCCTCTACCCCATCCGTCTTTCCCTCACCACATCCTACCACGGCAACCACCTCAACACCCACCACCTCTGATTCTTCTTCCTCACCGTCTTCTTTAACCGAAAACCCACTGCCACCCAATGCCGTTCTTATACCACCGCTCACCAATGATCATGTCATGTGCACCCGTGGAAAACGAGGATTTCTTCTCCCCACCAAACGTCTCAATCTTACCGCCACCCCAACCATCTCTCCTATTCCAACCAGTTATAAGCGAGCTCTTCTTGACCCTCTCTGGCTTTCCGCTATGCGTGATGAATTTGAAGCTCTTCAGCAAAATAATACATGGACTCTTGTTCCCAAACCTTCTGGTGTTAACATTGTTTCTGGCAAATGGGTTTTTCTTCATAAATTTCATTCCGATGGCACTCTTGCTCATTACAAAGCTCGTTGGGTGTGTCGTGGTTTCTCCCAGCAGCATGGTATTGACTTTGATGAGACTTTTTCTCCTGTTGTTAAACCAAGCACTATTCGTGTTGTTTTTAGTCTTGCTGTTTCCTCTTCTTGGCCTATTCATCAACTTGATGTTAAAAATGCTTTTCTCCATGGCACTCTCAATGAAACTGTCTATTGTCAACAACCTTCGGGTTTTGAGAATTCCTCTTCTCCTGATTTTGTTTGTCTTCTTCACAAATCTCTGTACGGTCTTAAACAAGCACCTCGTGCTTGGTTTCATCGCTTCACCACCTTTATTCACACAATAGGTTTTACCGCGTCTAAATCTGATTCATCTCTCTTCATTTTTCATTCCTCCTCCCATACTGCCTATCTTCTCTTATATGTTGATGACATAATTCTCATCGCCTCTTCTGATTCCTTTTTACAACACATTATATCTTCTCTTAATCGTGAATTTTCCATGACTGATCTCGGTCCTCTTCATCACTTTCTTGGCATCACTGTTTCCCGCACTTCATCTACACTCTTTCTATCTCAACGTCAGTACATTCTTGATTTACTCTCTCGTGCAGGGATGACTGACTGTCAACCTTGTCGTACGCCGGTCGATGTTGGTACTAAGCTGTCGGCCGACGGTGAACCCTTTTCTGATCCTACTCTATATCGCAGTATCACTGGTGCTCTCCAGTATGCCACCCTCACTCGCCCTGATATATCTTATTCTGTTCAACAAGCCTGCTTATATATGCATGATCCTCGTGTTCCTCATTATTCTCATGTCAAGAGAATACTTCGGTATCTCAAAGGTACTATTGATCATGGTCTTCTTCTTAATTCTTCCTCTCCAACAAGCTTGACAGTTTATTCTGATGGAGACTGGGCGGGTTGCCCAGATACTCGATGATCTACATCCGGCTTTTGTGTTTATTTGGGTGACAATCTTGTTTCTTGGTCTTCCAAAAGGCAGGTTACAGTTTCCAGATCGTCTGCAGAAGCTGAATACAGGTCTGTTGCTCATTCAGTGGCCGAGGCAGCGTGGCTCCGTCAGCTTTTGGTTGAGCTTCATCGACCAATCGAGCGTGCAACTATTGTGTATTGCGACAATATTTCTGTAGTCTACATGGCGTCCAATCCTGTTCAGCATCGATGCACCAAGCACATCGAGATTGATATTCATTTTGTTCGTGAAAAAGTGGCTCTTGGCGAGGTCCGTGTGCTTCATGTTCCTACCACTGCGCAATTTGCTGATATTTTCACCAAGGGGCTCCCTACTGCAGCATTCACTGGCATTCGATCCAGTCTCAACATTGTTACACCGGATGTTGACACTGCG